GTCACACACACATACACACACACACTCTCACACACTCACACAAACACTCTCACACACCCACTCACTCTCACACACACACACTCACTCACTCACTCACTCACTAACACACACACACACACACATACATTTTGGAAGAAATGGATGATTTCAGGATTCGTTCAGGAGTGGAACCGGATTGAATCAGAAGTGTCTTGTTATTTTCTCCATCTGTCTGATGTTGGCAGGGCTGTGATCGCTCCCATGCTGTCTCGACACGGCAAGCTCTGGTCGAACTTCTGGGGCGCTCTGAGTCCGGAGGGCTTTTACTCGCGCTCGGAGGACTACATCGACATCGTCCAGAGCAAGAGAGTGTGAGTGTCATTCACTCTGTGTGAGTGTGTGTGAGTGAGTGAGTGAGTGAGTGTGTGTGTGTGTGTGTATCAGTACAGCAGCCTGACGTCTCCTCCTGTCTTCCAGAGGATTGTGGAACGTTCCCTACATCACTCAGGTCTATCTGATCCGCGGAGAGACCCTGCGCTCGCGTCTGGCCCCCGTTTCTCTCTACCAGCAGGAGGGCATGGATCCAGACATGATCTTCTGCAAGAGCGTGCGCGAGCAGGTGAGCGTGCTTTAAAAATAACTGCTGTTTCTGCATCAGTCAGCCAGTGACATTATAAATATTGAAACTACGGCATGAATATTATAGGGCCCTTTGATTTATGCAATGCGGGAAACGTGGAACGGAATCACAGAATCCAGTCAATTTATGGAATGTCATGGAATTTGGGTAAAATTTGGATAAAGAAATTAAAAGTAGGGCTCATATCACAATATGGACAAGTGTCTATGAATATTCGGTTTAGCTCAAAGAAATTATGACATCAGAAATCCAGAAAAAAATTAAAACATGCAACACAATATTTCTGAAAAATGAAAAAATTGTATAGGGCATTTTATAATAATAAATTATTAAGTTGGGGAAGTTACACGAATTCAAGTGTTTAAAGAAAACAAAACACCAAACTTTAGGTTTATTCCTCTCTATATTCTGAAGGTTTCTTCATATTTCATTCACAACTGATTTATACAACATTTTACTCCTGAAACAGAGCGAAAATGTGTTTGTTTTCTGTCTGTTGAGAGTATTTTCTGATTTATGGAGCGATAAAAAGAGAAATCCAGAATCCCCTCTATAAGAATCTTTAACTCTAATATGAGGACAAAATCTGACATGAATTATGAATCTGGATTCAGATTTCTGTTCTGTAAATCTATGCAAATTAGTGCATATTTATTTAGACAATTCTTTTAGATTTCAGAACATTTGTAGTACAAAAAAATGTTTGCAGTTCTTGCTGTAATCAATCAGCTGGGGAAGTAGAGTGATACTGATCAGTTAATATGTGACTCTATTCACCTGAAGTGTCTGTCTTTACACTGTGTGAGTGAGGACAGGTGCTAGATTGAGTCAGTTAAACATGCTCGTGTTTGTGTTTGTGTGTCTCCTCCTGCAGGGCGTCTTCATGTTCGTGTCCAACAGGGATGAGTTCGGCCGTCTGATCTCCTCCACCAATTACAACATCAGCCGTCTTCATCCGGACATGTGGCAGATATTCGACAACCCAGTGGTGAGAGATTCACACGTGAAGCACATGAGTGCAGAGACACGCACGTGAGCGCAGACTAACCCTGTGTGTGTGTGTGTACTGTCATCTTCGTGTGTGTGTGTGTGTGTTAGTGTCATCTTTGTGTGTGTGTGTGTGTGTCTGTGATCTCAGGACTGGAGAGAGAAATACATCCATGAGGATTACTCCAAGATTTTTGAGGACGATGAGAACTTCGTTGAGCAGGTGAGACTGAAGATCTGATGTGACTCTTTAACCCTATAAAGCTACTGTATCATATTTGATGTCATTTCTGTCTCTAAATGATGATCATGATCAAACTCTGCTGTTTCTCACTCAATCTCCTCATGCCTTCTGTCTCTGATTTATAGTTTAGAGTTGTTTATCCAGTAAAAGCTCTTTTAGTGTAACTGTAGCTGGAGCTTCTCGTGTCAGATCTTAAGTGATTTTTATCAAGTAAAGGTCAGAATAACTGCAGTAATATCTCCAGATGAACACTTACTGGACTGAAGCAGCTCAGCTTTACTTGATTCTCCATCAATCATGTTTTAGAGTCTCAAATCTGATCCTCAGGATCTTTTGAGGAGCGTTTGTTTCCAGAAGCTTTACTTTCACTGTTCCTCAGCGGAGGAATGATCTTCACAAGCCTCCAGAACATCTCACATCTTCTGAGGAGCCTTTATTTCTTCAGCTCTCAATCACTGCATTATATGCTTGGATCATTTCACTCTCATCTTACCAAGTTATATTACTGGAGATATAGAGCGACCACTGATATTTAGATCATTTTATGTCAGTATCTGCTCTACTGTTAGAAAGATCTCATTGATTTGCATTACAAGCATCAGAAGCTGTTTTTTTTCTTCATATTCTCACTAGATCAGACTATATGAGCCATAAAGCCCTGGTTGATCAAATATGATATAAAACATAAAACACATTTGCAAACTTTTGCTTTAGCTTTTCTTTAATATTCGTCTAAAAGTTCAATAAACTGCTCTATTTGAAAACATTAGATTTTTCTGACTGTTATTTCATATGTCAGGCTTTAAAGAATTAAACTGGAGTGTGTGTGTGTGTGTGTTTCAGCCCTGTCCAGACGTCTACTGGTTTCCAGCATTCTCTGAGAGAATGTGTGACGAGCTTGTTGAGACCATGGAGGATTTTGGCGGATGGTCTGGAGGAAAAAACAAGGTCAGCGACCTCAGCGAGTGTGTGTGTGCCTGCGTGTGTGTGTGAGTGTGCGAGTGAGAGTATGTGTGTGTGAGTGAGTGTGCGAGTGAGAGTATGTGTGAGTGAGTGTGCGAGAGTGAGTGTGTGTGTAAGTGTGTGTGCATTTGAGTGTAATTGCGAGTGTGTGCGCATGTGAGCAAGTGTGAGAGTGAGTGTGTGTGCGAGTGCGTGAGAGAGTGTGTGCGAGTGTGAGTGAGTGTCCGTGAGTGAGTGTGTGAGTATGCGAGAGTGCTTGTGTGTGTAAGTGTGCGTATGTGTCCGCCCCCGCAACCCCCGGAATTGGTTTTTTTGCTTTAACTCCTGGTGTGTG